TGGTGTCCGTGGAGGTGTGCGGTGTGGTGTCTGTCCCGAGACATTTCAGGGCAGCCAGTTCCCGGCAGTGATGAGGACGTAATGTCTGGTACTGGTCAGCACTGGAAGCTGTGTTGGGGATGTGAAATTCAAGGTCTTGTATTTCAGAGATGATAGGATGTTGCTTTATAAGTGTTTTTTATGTACTGGCTGTAGAAAATGTACTAAAAAATACTTCCTGCCTGCTTTGTGTAACTAATTTTCAGGAATATATGTGTTTTGATTGAAGAGTCAGTTCACACTGACAGGTCTTGGCTCAGCTCGGGCCTGTTTGAACATGAGTAAGGCCAGTCAGAGGCTTCTGATTAGAACTTGGGTTTAGTGCTGATTAGTTCAATATTTCTGTACTACTTTTAGCTTGTTGCTGATTCAGTGCTGAAAGCCCAGTTGAATATAGCAGTCTGTCGTTGTTTAGTTATTCAAAATCAACTTAAAGCTAATAGCTGTTAAAGTGTAACTTTGTTGTTCTAGGAAGGCAACTTGAAGGCTGAATACAGCTGTGATGCACATCTGTTTGATGAAGAAGGCGTCACTTTTTTGTAGTCACTTTGCAAAATTAGCTGGATTGAAAAGTAAGTATCTTTATGTTTCTAAGATAATATTGAGTAGTTCCATAGTATTTTAATGTTTTGGGTGGCGTTTGGGTTTTTTGAATTTTTTTTTCTTTTTTTCTGTGTAATGGTACATAAATTATAGCACTTGAGTAAAACTCCTATCTTTTATTTAAGGTAAGAAAAAATATGACAGAAAAAGCAAGTGCAGATGATTTTCAAGTTTGGGATCATCTCAAGAAGAAGAAGAAGAAGAAGAAGAGAAAACACAAAGAATACGATAAGGAACATGAAAACGATGAAAGAGAAAGTATACAAAGCGCAGAGCGTGGCCGTGCTTCTCCTCTGCTGTTTGAAGATCGAGCAGCACAGGGTGGTGAAGGCTGTAAAAAGAAAAAAAAAACAAAAAACAAGGGGGAGAAGCAACAGTCTTCCTTAGATAATTCTTGTGTAGGACTGGAACATGAAATTAGTGATGAAATGGGAGTGGATGTTTCCCAAAAGAAAAAAAAGAAGCAGAAGTATAATGATAGCACAGATGATCAAAGTGATGTAAGTTATGTCACAGTAAATCAGTGTAGCACTGATAGTTCTCAGAACATCAATGCTGATTACATTTATTTAAAACAATCTGTTAAGAGAAAAAGAAAAGAAAAATTGCCTGCAGAGGATGAGGTACATGAGCTGCTTACCTCAGAAACACACAATAAAAATGATGATAAAAGATCAAAAAAGAAGAAGAAGAAGAGAGGCAGTAGTACCCAAGATATGCAAGAAGACACAGATGTAACCGTTGACCAGTCACTGTTGTCATCTCTGGAGCAAAACAGGCCAGGGGAAGACACAACCTTGCCATCACCTGCAGAAGAGGGTGGTGTGGCAACGCCCCAGCAATGGCATGAAGATAGTGACTGTGATGTTTCTCCTGCTGTGCGTGAAGATTCTACAGATGTACCTGCTAATTTTTTTAAGCTGACTAAACCAGCTGATCGATCTCAAAAAACTCCAGTGCGTGCTAGAAAGAAAATAAAAAGCAGTGCTTTTGTCATGGAAGATAGTTCTTCAGAATCTGATGTAATGTAAGTTTAGGTTTTTGGGTTGGTCTGTTTTTCTTTTCCCCACACCCCAGATACGTTTCTGTCACATTATTTGGGCCCCAGATTTTTCTTCAGTCTGTATTGTATGTATTTTTCAAAACAACTTCAAAAACATTTAGCATATGTTGAGGTGTTATGGAGACCTACTTTAAGAGCTTAGTTATCAATACAAAAAAATTTGTAAGAGTACACTACCATTGTCTTCAACGTAGAATAGTTTTTTCTATTTAAAAGCTTAGTGTTCTGTGCAAACAAATGCACATGGGAGTAGCACTTGGTGCTTTTACAGTGTGTAGAACCCACAATAAGAGCACTGGTGATGGAAAAGTTCTGTGTTGCCAGTGATAGCAAGAGGCAGTATTTATTCTGTATGTCTATGTGTGAGAGTTTTGTGGGAAAGGTTCGGATTTTCAAAACTTCAGGAAGCTCTTTGAATATTGTAAGTATAGAAATTTGATAATAAATTACATCTGTGTTAAAAGGCTGAAAATACAAGGGGGGGGATGTGTGAAATATTGCTTGTTCTTTAAAAGAATGAACATGTTCATTAATTAATGGTAGAGATACTAACAAAATCTGTTTTTAACATATTTTACAAAATCTCTAGTTGTGTGTTTTATTTTACTCATTTTGTAATTTCAGGACATCAGAGCCCTCGGCATCAAATAGAAAGAAGGACCAGAATAGTTCCTTTACTGAAATGGTACCATCTGATGAGCTTAATCTGGATGATGAAGAGTGCCTGGACTCTACCATGAGTTCAGTCGTGGATTTGGATACTGCAAAACAAGAGTTGGAAGAGTTTATTCCTCATGTGAGGAATATATCAGACAGTTCCATCAGGAAGATGGCTGGAAGAGACCTAGTGAGGTTTAAACAGTTTAAAAAACAAGGTTAGCGCTCAAAATATTGTTGCAGTGAGGAAGGACTGTGCAGCTGTGCTATTCTTTTGACAGAAGAAAAATAGTTTGGTTTTGTATCGTGTCTGTGACATCCATGCAGTCTGGCTCACTTCATTCCAATGGGCATAATTTTCTGTTTCTGTGCTTTGTAGCATCTGCTTCCTCATTGTCAAGTTACAGCCCAAAGCACATGTGTAAATTACCTGCTCCCAACTCTTGTTTTGTCTCTTTTTCACTTCTCTTTTTTCACCTTTTGAATTTGTTGATATACGTTTGCAAAAACCTGAAATGTAATGCACAAGAGATGGTGCTTGAGGTTTGCTTTTTTTTTTAAATAAAACTTTCTGTATATTTCAGGTATTGCTGTCAAGTTTGGTAGATTTTCCCAGAAGGAAAATAATCAAATCCGGAAAAATGTTGAAGAGTTCTTATTGATTACTGGAATAGACAGTGCTGAAAAACTCCTGTTTACCTCAAGGTATCCGGAAGATAAAGAAACTATCAATCGCCTAAAATCGGAACATCTTTTTTGTGAAAAACTTTGTAAGTATTTAATTTCCTTCTCAAATAGCTGATTGTTATATTCCACAGCCTGGTGATATCATGATGTATTTTCTAAAATATTTTTGTATTGAAAAGCACTAATGTTGCTAAATTTGGCAGGAAAGGAGTGTGCTGCTGAGATTATGTAGCTGGTAATTTGTACAGTATACTGTTCTGATTATCTTTCCTTGCTTATGAAGAGTTTAGAGATTAAAATATCATGACCAGCAGCAATTGCAGACTTTCAAATTTGCATTTGGGCTTTATGGCTTAAGGTGCCTTATTTGCTAGCTTCTAATTAAACATAGTGACTTATTAATGGGAGATGTGATTAAGTCCTGTCTGAAATTGTCAGCTGTTCTCAGAGCACATAAATAGGTGGCAGATTTGAGACTGAGTGATGGCAGAAACTGAAAGAAATTAGGTAATTTTCCAAGGTGTGAGGAAGACAAATAGAATTCTTATGGCTAAGGTTCTGTCTGCAGGAGGAGCATTTATTCTCTTCCTCTTTTCTCCTTTTTTGGGCTTTTCTTGGCTAGAAAACATTCACATTTCATATGGCAAACATGCTCATTTTGAAACATCTGTGATGAATCTACTCGGTGCGCTTTTCAGTGGCATTCTGTTCTGTGTTTGTTCTGTATCATTAGCGTAGGCAAGACAGAGTAAGTGACAACCTGTAATGGATTTGGATACTAGCATTTATTTAAGGATTGATGAGGCTACAGATTTGTTCCTTCTTGATTATTTGACGTACACAATCATCCCCTCTGCATCATCACATTTGCCTGGTGTTGACTTCCCATCTGGGAGATTGCTCCTGTTCTGGGAAAACTGGGCAGAAAGTCAGGTCAGTGTTCGGTGAGTTGCTTGCAGCCACCTCTCCTGGGCGTTGCTGGCCAAGATTGTTGATGTGTTCCCAGGTATTGGTCTCTTCTCTGCTTCAAGGATCTTTCCTCCAGCAAAGATCTTCGCTTTGTTTTTGCTGGATGCCCCCAGTCCCTGCTTTTCCCCATCGAACTAGGCTGTACGCAGAAGCAGAGTATCTGGCTGTCTCATGTCTCTCTGTTATGGGAGCATTCAGTATGTTACTTACATTTGATCCACATGTTATCAAAATTTACAGCCAGTCCATATGATCTGTAGCTAATGAGTAGCAGGCTTGTGCTTGAGAGTTCAAAAGTTCAGTGTTTGATATTCCCCCACAGGTATGCACACGCCTACACAATTATTTACCAGCTGTCAGCATTCACAATCGTACCACGGTCATAACAGTTACACCTTTGAAACGCCTCAGGAGATTCTCTTCAGACTATTTCCTGTGCAGTTACCAAAGTGTTGTAGAGTACATTCTCTTGAATGGAGGGAATCTATCATTGGCAGCACGGTTATGAAAATGTATGTTGTTCAGTTTTGGTTTTGTTGTGTTTTGGCTTTTTTAAAGTGGCCTCACCAACGTGAGAAATGTTTCTTAAAAATGAGTCATTTACCTTCTAGCTAAGGACATACCACGACCCTGGAGGCTGATATATTATCGAGCAAGGAAGATGTTTGACCCAAATAATTATAAAGGGAGGTGAGTAATTTGAAAGAGTTTCTGAATGCTAATATGAGTCTCTGATGTTTATTTGTACATTAAAAATGGATATAAATGAAGATCATCTCTCCCATTGGTGTCAGTTACTGTGACTTAATTGGCAGTTCATTTTTCTGACAAGTTCTTAGCAAATTCTCTGTTTTAAAATATGACGTGAAGTGGTAGTGATGAGTAACATGGGAAAGCTTGTAAAGATTACAGCTCTTTTAAGATATTGGAATGGTTTGAATTTGCAGTGAAGCTGGTCATATTTCCTCGACTAGGTATACTAAGGAAGAAAAAGAAAAATTAAAGAAGTATCATGCTCTGCATGGCAATGATTGGAAGAAGATTTCTGAGATGATGTCCCGTTCCAACCTCTCAGTTGCTATGAAATACTCTGAAATCAAGTCAGGTACGTAATTTTAAGAAAAACAATTAATTCTGTATATTGCAATGTGAGAAGTTATTTTAACTGTATGTATGTGCCCTAAACTTTAGGCAAAAATCCCTAGAGTGGATTTTTTTGGTTTTATAGTTAATTTGTGGTGGTAGTTCTTTCCAGACCACTGATTGCTTTTTCATACATAAAGGATAAGAACGGTCACTGATAGAAAAAGGAAAAGTGCAACAAATGCAACTCTTTAGTAAATGTAACTGATATCTAAATAGATGCTTTCAGAGGGAGGGCAGGAGGAATTTGGCAACCAGGTTTTAAAAGACAGAAACTAGGGATCAGTGCTATTCATTAGTGATGAGGCGCAACTCCTCTCTCAAATCTGTTGTGCAGAAGAGTTCCTAGGAAGTGTGTTAAGAAGCTGGTCCTGAAAATAATTTGCTCTTTTGCCTTTTTTTCCCTAAGAAATTATGATTAATTATAACTTAACCTTATTTTTCAATTTTAGCTATTAATTATGGTCCTTGGTCGAAGGAAGAGACCCAGAAATTAATGCATGCAGTGGAGGAGGTGATTAGGAAAAGAATGGAAACTGAAGATGCAAATTCTCTTTCATCATTGGAAAAGTCAAATAGAGATCTCTCGATTGACCGTGAGAAACTGTACCAGAAATTACCATGGACTGAGATTGAAGCTAAAGTAGGAACCCGATATTGGAGGCAATGTAAACAGAGATGGTAAGGTTTTATACTAAATTGAGACAGTAAAATACGTTCTGGGGAGTATTTAACTCCATTCTGCAAAACTGTTTGTACCATGACGATTGTTTGGTAAGATAGGTAATACATAGGTTGTAGGCTACAGAAGAGGTGTTGCAAATGTGTCTGAGACAAATAAATAACTCTTTGCTGGCTGCGTAAGTAAGTTTTCTTCTTGCCGTGATAGTGAAGCCTGATTTCTGCTTCTCTGTGGCAGCAGTAGCATCTTGAAGACACTTCCTTTTGATGCTTGCAATTTCTTGAAATGACAGAAACCTTTTATTGTGTGTTTTCAAAGGACTACAGTTTTAACACACAAGATGACCAAAGGGCAGCAGTTATATCGGGGAACCAAAGGATTACAGGCCAAGATCAGCCTTATTAAAAGGTACAGTTCAGAGTTACTGGAATGTTTTTGTATCTCTTGCTGTTGTGAGTTGTTTCTATAAAAGCTTGCTGAGTGAGAATGGCATGCCTGTGGTTTCATACAGGTTTTGCAAGCACTCTTTCTTTGGACAAAATGTCCTGTGACTTCTCACTGGGGGAGCTGTGAGCTTTATTGAATTATTACTTGAATTCTGCCTACAAACTGCTTCTGTATTATATTCACAGGTTGTATGAAATGAAAGTGGAGGATGCTAATGAAGTAAACTGGGAAGAACTCAGTAATGCTATTGGGTAAACTTGTTTCCCCTCTGTTTACCGGATACAAAGGATAGTTGAAGCAGACTGTCTTAAAAATTCCACAAAGGAATCAAAGTTATTAGACCTTTACAACTATAGTAAATGTCATTTAGTCTGGTATATCTTTGCGTAGTACTGAATGGTAAACCATGCCTGTAATCTCTGAAACTAGCTTTTAACCACTTCAGGCAACCCTCACAGTATTCCCAGTGCATTCTGTGTACTAGAACTGTGTTATGTAGTCTGTGCTAAAGTCTTTCCTAAAAGACTTTTCCAGGTGTTGATTAACACATAGCAAAAGGGATTATTATTGGAATGTGTGACACAATGTAATAGTCTTCTTCCAAACAAAGTAAGTGTTGAATATGAAATTACCACTACAGTGAATGCTATACTTTCTCTACAGTGCTGCTTTCTTTTCCACGTAGTTTCAGTTTCATTTACTGGTTCTTGTCACTAAGCATACAATGCTTATGCATAATGGTGTAGTTTGGGTTCTTACCTTGGGTTCA